ACACACACTTACTCTTTATAATTCCTTCCTCAGCCAAGGCCACCTTTGACGCCATCTCCAAGACTTACAGCTACCTGACCCCTGATCTGTGGAAGGAGACAATCTTCACAAAGTCTCCCTACCAGGTCTGTACAGAGCCAACATGAGCTGTTATGGTTATGTCAGGATTTTGTGTAACCAGGCTTTCTGCTTTTTGTTCCAGGAGTTCACTGACCATCTGGCCAAGACTCACACCAGGGTGTCTGTGCAGAGGGGCCAGGCTGTGCAGGCCGCTGCCTCCTAAACATTTTGTATAGGGAATCGTTGAATAAACGTTCTGGAACACCACTTCTGTGTCTCGTGTGCTTAACTCACAAAACTATGTATGCTGCAAAAATGTGCAGACTTCGGTAACTGAACAAGACACAAGTGATATGTTGGGCAATAGGAGAAACTGCATCAGTTAATGCAGTCACCTCTACAGTAATACAGAGTAAAATTAACTTTATCTAGCCAATCAAAATACTTTAAATATACTGAAACCTTTAAAATGATTATTTGGAGCAGCAGATCCCGTGTTGTGTGCTATCACGAAATAAAACTAGTTTTCAGCTTCTGGTCAAAATGGTTTTGGAGCATTGTCCATCACTTGGATACTTTCACAGTATTGGGGTGATTTGTAGGAAGCAGGTGAAAGGGGGGAGGTATAATCAAGAAAAGGGAATGAAAATTAGAAATGGGATGATACGTGAGTCACTGAGGAGGATGAGATTTGGAAATTTAAATACTTTCAAATCAGACTGAGACAAATGTTGGGTGGATTACCATAGGATATCAGCGTGAGCGAAAGGGAATATAGGTGATATGCCTAACTCACCTCCACATAATGCTATTCTATGGTAGTTGTTTTGTTATGCTTTTAGTTTGAAATTACTCTGATACACATCCGAAAACGTAAGTGTGATAGTACTGAAGGTTTGTGAGAAAGTTATATTGGGTAATCGTGACAAAATGCTGTCTATTATTTAGGGAGTTAAGTTAGAGCATATCACTTTTATTTATTTGTACATCTTTATGGCTTGCACGGTACTTGTGTCGTAACATATGTAAAATTACATTCTTCACAAAAATGTTTCTCTCAGATACTGTTTTTCCTAATTTGTCTATTAATTACATATCTGTTGGCCACCCCGTCCTGAGGCTGTTTCTATTTCTTCCTGTTAAAAGCAATTTTTACCTTACCAGTGTTGCCAAGTGCTTGCTAATAGGGGGTCACCCAGGGGCAGATCTAGAGAAATTTTGTGAGGGTGGCAAAATCAAAGCCTTTTTTTCCAAACACATATGCAGGTGGTTACAAATGGTTAAAATGAATCAAATGCAGTAAGTATACACATTTTTCATATAAATAGTCTATAACTTAATTGTTTTCTGTAGCCCACATAATTAAACACTTCAGTTACAGAAAACATGTGATGTTATGTACTGTATAGCCTGTATAATAAGTAAATATAGGCCAGTAAGTATAAAATCCAGAAAGCTACACAACATGGGGCAGCTCATTTACAAACAAAATTCTAACTTAAGTTTCACACTGTTTTTTTTGTTAGAAAAAAATTAAAATTGTTACATGCTTAACAAAATGTCAGAAATCTGCACTTGCATGAATACAAATTTAAACCTAATTTTTCATGATTTGTTGGATTAACCCTCTGAGGTCCAAAATATAACGAACCATTTTTGACTCCTTTTGATTTTACATTTGTATTTCACCTTCAAATTGTTTCTTTTTATTTTTCCCCCTTGCCTTGCTTGGTATCGGCCCGGCTATACGCTTAAATCAACCTTTTGTTGAGAAAGAAAATAATAGATTACCCACAAACTGAATATGGACAAGATTTACTACAGTCGCTAAAAAAATCCACTGGAAAGGCGGAAAGGTTTCGCATCTTGTTCGCTCTTTCCCTGCAGCCTCACACAGCACTCGGCAGAGAATCCCCACTCATCCTCGTCCCAGCTAAACATCCAATCACTGTTAATTCAATTCAATTCAATTCAATTTTTTCAAGTCAATTTTATTTATATAGCACCAAATCACAACAGTCGCCTCAAGGCGCTTTAGATTTAAGGTAGAATACAATAATAGATAAAGAGAAAAACCCAACAATCATATGACCCCCTATGAGCAAGCACTTTGGCGACAGTGGGAAGGAAAAACTCCCTTTTAACAGGAAGAAACCTCC